ATTGTTCTGTGCCTTAGTCATACCAAAGACAATATTTTGGTTGTGATGTCATACTACATCTTTGAAAGATATTCCCATTTTGGGAAACTAGGTAAAGGGTACAAGAGATCTCCCCATATCATTTCTTAAAATCACATGTGAGTCTACAGGTATCTTAAAAGAACTTTGAGAAGGCATGGTAACATTATAAGTAATCGAATATAATAGGACTCTACAATTCTATACTAGTATAAATAAATGAATAAATGGGGGAATCGCTTTTTCTCACAGAAGAATGCATTAATGCTTTGAGGGGAAAAGTGAATAAGAAATTGATCATTTGATTCATCAGGATAATTAATGAGTGCAATAAGTATCAATGGATGTTAAGACTAGACATTAAAATGTGATGAAAAGCAAAATACTTGTATAATTCTCTTACATCTCTATCAAACTCTTATTACATAGTTTTTAAACGAATTTTCTTCACAGTGGAGAACCCTGCCAGACATTGCCTTAGTCACTTGACCAAAATTAACATCACTAGTTCTCAACAAATCCCCATGTGCTGCTCGATCGGATGCAGTGAGAACCACAGCTGCACTTCCATCTTCTTTTGTCAAAGACAAATGACACAAATCTAACCAGGAACAAATGACAGAAATACCTAAGTTGAGGGACATCCCCCAAAATGACCTGTGATCTTTAAGTGAAAAGGCTATGAAAGTCAAGAAATGATTTCAAGATGAAAGAAAACAACTAAATATAACCATGTTCCTGGACTGGATCCTTTTGCTTTAAATGATATTATTGGACAAATGGGTAAAATTTGAGTGGGATCTTTGAATTAAAACATAGGTCCCATGTTAATTTCCTGATTTTGATGGATATATTGAGGTTTCGAACAAAAATTGTCATAGGGGTGTTGGGGCATCATATTGACAACTAACATATTGCTCCAGAGTTCTGAAGCCTTTTGGAGTTTCATAGTTACACATTCTGTAAAACTGGTAAGCTTTACCATAAGTTTGAGATTGCTTCAAAATAAAAAATATCTTTAGTATAAAAACTCAAGCGAGGATTGCCTTTGCAGGCTAGAGCTAGATTAAGAGATCATGTGTCAAATTTGTCCTCCATCTTCCAATGAGTATTCATATTTAAATGAGGGTAGCATGATTGAAAATGGGATGCTCTAAATCAAGTTTTTTCTATAAAGGGCCAGTAAATACCTTAGACTATGAGTCACACAATGATACACTTCAACTCTGACATTATGGCATAAATGCAACAGAAAGACAGTATAGACTAATGTGTGGCTATATGCTACTAAAACCTTATTTATGGACACTGAAATTTAAATTTCATATAATTTTCACCCATCTCAAGTACTTCCCTGTTTGAAAATGTGAAACCCCATCCTCAGGTCATAAGTCATACAAAAATATAGGTGGATTTTCCAGGGACAGCGGCACATACGTGTAATTTCAGTGCACAGAGACTGAAGTGGGAGGATCAAAAGTGTGATCCCAGACCGGGCAACTTAGCAAAGCTTTGCCTCAAAATATAAAAGGGCCTAGGAATATTGTTCCAAAGGCCCTGGGTTTAATCCCCAATAACCCCCACCCCAGGGTGGATTTGACCAATGGGCCTTAGTTTGCATATTCTTGTTTTATAAGTTCAAATGATTATTACAGAGCTCACTACCGAACAGATTATTAGTTTGTAATCTCTAAGTTTGAACCTTAGAACTTTCAGAGAAAAATTAGAGGATTTGCTATGCAGCCTACACAAGACACAAGCCAATGCTAGAATGCGACCAGACTCTGCTTAGATAAGATTCAGGACATGGTCTAGTTCCCTGCTAGGAATATTTCTTCTCTCAGATGATATCTAAACCTAATCCTAGTAACAAATGACCCCATCTTAACACATTAATAAACTTTAATTCTGATGAGTGTTTGGGATCAAGAGAAGCTCACTGGGCTGTTTTTCTTAACTTCATGAAGTAAAGGTACAGAATTAGCATTTTTACCATTTTTATGTAACGTAAGTGCAAATTCCAGACTTGAGTGAGGCTAGAAATGATATCACACAATTAAAATATTTCAGAGTTTGAGAGACTATCAAAGTGAAGATGAACAGTGGAATCTAAAGCTATATTCCACTGGAAAAGAACAAGGGAAGATAGATAGGAATCATTAGCTGAATGAGTTAGGTTAGGTTCTGAGCCTAGAAGCCTAGAAAATCATGGTTTTACTAATAAAGGGTGTGGGGGGTGAGAGGCAGCTAACTTGCAAATATGAATTCAAAGAAGTTTGATTTCTAATGTGGTTTACCTACATAGACTTAAAGATTCAGAACTCTCTTTCAAATACTAATTAAGGCATTTATGTGAATATAAACATTGTGTTTATTTCCAACAACAGCAATATCCTGAAAAGATTATAATGGGTATATCACTGGAAAAGATGTATTACTTTTATCATCAGTTATTAAATCTACAAGAAGAAGGACCACTAGGACTTTTTAAACTACTAGGGTTTGTAAACATATAGTGGTTGTCCAAGTTTCTACAAAATCAGTTAAAAAACAAACAAAACAAAACAAAAAAAATACCCAGCTAAACTGTTGTCCTGTTGAGGTAAAAGACTGTCCAAAAACATTGCCTCTCCATTCATAACACATAATACACCATCTCTTGGGCATTGGAAAGATTGGAAAAAAGGATTGCTGGCTGGAGAGCAGGTTGTGGCTTTGCCTCAGACTTCAGCAGCCCTTGTAGCAGGGAAATAAAGGTCATAGAGGAAGACAGCATCCAATGCCAGCCACAGGATTCTTGAACAAGAGTAACAGCACTGACCAGAACCACACATTACCAACACTGATTGAGAATGATTTATTAAGGTCCAATTAGTAAGCTTTTAATTTCCAATAGTCCACATCTCGTCCATAAAATAGGCACATCAACAAAACCATCTTTTCTTTAGCATCCAGTATAAATGTTCTGCATTTTTTATAAAGTGTGTGAAAATGCCTTTCTACCAACTGGCTCCCTACATTCTTTTCATCATGGGCCTCTTACAAGTCTACCCTTTGTTCCAATACTAACCACAAACTGTCTCGCCTTCCTAGACAGTCATACTTCCTCAAGACTTCTTTCTCTTAGCCATTCTTCTGACCTCCCCAAACCTGCTTCAAGACTCTGTTACTTCCTCAATGTATGTTACAAGAAACTGATTCAATCCCCATCTCCCTGGACAATGCATTGAGCACATTTCACCTAATATGGCAGGAATCCACCAGGGGTAATTCCTAAAGAACAAACTTGAGCCAGTCACATACTGACACACTCAATCCCTTTGCTACAGAAAGGCCCCAAGCCATTCAATACATCGATCCTTATTCACTTGGCATGTTAGATTGCTTTGCATTTCCTTCAAAAATTTCTTCTACATTATAACTGTGGATACCAAGAGCTGTATAACCTAAAAAAAAATGGAATTGCTAGATATATTAGGGTGTCTTAGTTATTTTGACAGTTGACTGTTTCTAATTAATTTTTTTATATTAAAAGGTCACTCTCAACTAAAGTAACCACTGCATTTATTTTGTACAAAGGTAATTTAACTGGCTTTCCTTACAACTGTCACTTCTTATACAGTGCAATAGCAGGAAATCTCTTTTTATAAAAAGGTAAAAGTCTAAGAAGACATTTCACATTTTTAAAAAATCCTTCATGGAAATAGGTTCCTAAGTAAATAATCAATTATATGGACAAAGTTTTATGTACACAAAATTTTAGAAACTTTATAATAGTGAAAAATTAGAAATAACCCAGTCAATGATATGGGAATGGTTAAATGAATTGAGTTGCATCCATTAAATGGAATATTATATAGCCACTAAAATTATCATTTTATAAAAAATTTAATGCCATAGGAAAATCTGGCAATTATGAAATTAAAAAACTAGCTATAAAACTGTTTACAGTTTAATCCCAATTATGTAAAAAAGTATATAATTACATACAGTTATACATGGGGAGCTGTTAAAGACGGTTATTTCTAGGTTGTGATATTATTGGCAATCATTTTTTCTTGTTTACACATTTCTGTAACTTTCAAGTTTTCTACAATAAGTACGTATTATTTTATAACTTGGAAAAAACACAGGCTATTAAAAACTTCCTCTGATGTACTGGCAATAATAATGTACTCAGGTATTTTAAATGTGCAGGAAAAGTATTACTGTGCTTCATTTTCTATGACTTTTTTAGGGTACATATTCTTTTGGTAATAAATTTACAGTTTTTGTTTTATACTTGTTACAACATTTTAATAAAAATGTACTATTGTGAGTACAGCATTGTTTCTTTCAGAGCCTAAACAGATACTGGTTTTGACAACTAGTTTCTTCTATTTCCTAGAAGATTTAAAATTAGCATCTTTTTATCTTCTTAAGTAAAGCATACCACATACATATATTACCTGCATGCTTTCTAAAAAAAATAATTCTAATTTACAGTTTTCTTACATAAGGAAAAAATTGAAATTAGGGTAGTTTAAGTCTACAGCCTCATCCTTCACAACACACTGGTTAGGCATAAACATGTTTATTAAATGAAACGTATCCTTAAGGTATGAAAAAGGGAAGCCTGTCCATAAGTGACATTGTGAACTCAATTAGTCAGAGTTTATTCTGACTTGCACCAAGCCACACAAACAAAATCTCTTAAAGTCTCGTTAGTGTAGTTTAAATAGACACTCGAGAGTCTATTCCGGAATCCCACCATAAGGACTCCACTTTCTACTTTCAAAAGGAATGGGGATCAGAATGAGGGTTGTCACATAAGCTAATTCTCCATATATATCAAGTCTCATGGGGTCTAGGAACAAATACTGCCTTGGTTAGTGTTTAAGTACACAAGTGTCTTTCTCGCCTCTCTTGCTCCCCACCTTGCCCTAGAAACTGGGTGGGGAGCAGCTGCTCATCCCTCTGTAGAAGACAGCTGGCTTCTCATGTTCGTTTCCTTTCTAAACCACAGAGTGGTCATTGCTGTGAACTCCAGCCAAGATGGTGTGGTTGAGAGAGGAAGCCGAGCGGTCAGAGCCTTCCATGGGGCCGTTAGCATTGTCGCTGCGCTGACAGCAAAGGATCTGCCTGAAGGTAGCGCTCATCTCCTTGTCTCGGTAGGAGTAGATGATGGGGTTCATGGCAGAATTGAACTCGGCAAGGAGAAGGAAAAATTTCTCATAGGCCAAAACATTGCACTGCGGGCAGCACACGTCCAGCAGCAACAAGACCAGTCCTGGAGTCCAGCAGATGATAAAGGCACCTGCAAGGACAAGGGAGAGAAATCAGGAGGAATAAAAAAAGAGAATGAAAAATATCATTACGAAACATGCAATCATACAGCAATTTCCAATCAGTATACAAACACTGGAAGCCACCAGTCATCGTTGTGAATAAAATATGAAATAGAAAAAAAGTTAGCAACAATAACTTTTCATTAATTTGGATCCTACTAATGTTGACTATGAGTCAATGACTATGATTACTTTGCTCAAAACTCAGGGTTTGATACCGAACTGAGACACAAAAAACTGCATTCAGGATACACAGCACCTGCCACAAGGACATGATTTTTAATAGCCAAGAGTTGTTTTCAGTCAAAAGACAAGGGCTAAAGATAAATGTCCTTTAATGCCTAGTTAAGGCACAGTTTCTGGTTCTAGTTTTCCTGGGCTCAAGTCCTTGCTATGTAGTTTAATGAAACAGTAGCAGGTCAGTAGTAGGTAATGGTAGCCTGACTGAAACAGCAGTTTGTGACAATAGATATGTTTTATTTTTATTCAATAATCACTTACATGGTGCTTTACAAATAACACAATCTACACAATAGCCATATAATATATAAACGAATAGCCCTATGGTACAGATGAAGATACTTTAAATACCTAGCTCAAGAGAAAGTTTAAATACCTAGCTCATGGCCACAGCCCTGGGAAGTGACAGGAGACAAATTCCAGATTTTATTGTTGGAGACTGGCTTCACGGTTCATGTTCAAGAACATACTGCATTAGACCTCTATGTCTCAAATCTAATAAAATCAAATAATTTACACCACATTTGTGCTTCAGATATTTTACTCATTCAGATCAACTTTATGCTACTTATTCCCCTATTACAAATTGTTAAACATGTACTATAATTGCAACAGAAACGGAAATGTAGATTGTATTCTAAATCTATTTTATTTAGTCTCGTCATTTGGATGTGAGGGAAAGCAGAAGTCGTGATATCGCTGTAGAGCTTATTTGCTGGGGATCCTCAAGTGAAAGAACTTGAGCCGACAAGGCTGGTGATGGACACCACCGCAATCCCTTAGACCTTCCTGAATGGGCCCCAAGTAACAATCAGGCTAACGAGGAGCAGGGGGAATGAGGGTGACTGCAGAAGGGCTGGTGGGCTGGAATCCCAGCTCTGAACCAGCCTCAAGGATTGGGTTTCTCAAAACTTAAAAAACACATGAGATTTAGTATCCAAACAGCCCAGTGTTGATTGTGAGCTTTCTTTTTTTTTAAAAAAAGAAAAAAAAACTTCTCGGCAGAGAAATGAAAATAAAGTGAAGAGAAAAGTACCCCCAGAAAGGTCTTTGTTCTGAAACACAAATGTGTATTGGCCTTACACAGCTGTTCGCTTTGAAGGTTGTCCAAGGTGCTCCACTTTCTCATAAATGCAATACCTTAGATTTTCCTTGGAGAGAAAAAAATAATATTCCAAGTATCAGGAGATAATAGCCAAGGATCTATCTGAACTTCAATAAAAATGTTAATAAAGCATTCATTCCAGGTCCTTGAATTTCCTTTATTTAAAATCACTCAGAAAGCTAAACATAAAGGAAAATCAAAGGAATGCCTCTTGGGTTTCAGAAATAATGTATTATTCATTGAGAAGCCAGGAAGGGAATTATTCTCAGGGTGGAAAATGCTTGGATGGAAAATGCATAGTCCCATTATTCATTTACTTGGAAACTGAAAACAGACACAGCCCCTTCATGAATAGAAGAGCATTCTTTCAAGTTTCCTTTCTCCTTTCTTTTATCAAAGCTGTAATTGAACTCAAACTTAGAGCTTAATTAGACACCAGCAACACATAGATATAGTTTAACTAAAATGACCTTGTTCACCTTCCAGGCACCAGAAGGAAATATTCCTTGTTATGACATACTTGGTCAATCTGTTTGACTTGTTCAAAAGTGAGAAAATTCAAATATAGTCATTTATTGTTCATAATTTTTCCAATGTTAAAGCTCACGATGAGGAAGATCTCTTCAAAATGAGCCATGGTCTTAGAAATTAGCCTATGGACCTTACTTTTATACCCAAAAGGAACCCTGTTACACCGGACACAGGAAGTGGATAACACCACAGCCCATCAGGAGCTAATACATGTGGACACCTCATTGAGGAGCCCAAAGTCCTCTCCCTTCTCCTTCACTGAAAGGAACTGTTTGTAGTACTATGATTATGCCCGACCACACTGTTTTTATCTCTACGACTCAATAGAATAATTTCAGTGACTCACAGAACAGACCTCAGAAATCAACAGGCAAAACCAATTGAACAGAATTTTCCCTGCTTCTCTCTTCCCTTCCTTTCCACATGGGTGTCAAGGACCAAAAGATGAGAATGAACTACAGATGTGGGGTAAGAGGCTTGGAAAATTCTAAAATAATCAGTTTCCTAAACCATAGTGAATGAATATTCTGAAACCAAGTCCTCTTGAAATAGGAATTTCCCTCTGAGTTTCTAAAAACAAAAATAAATCACAATCATGCCCCTTTAATAAGAAGTAGCCAACCATAATTCAGTTGGGTTGTAGGACTTGATGTGTGCATTGTGGATGTTTCCAACATGTAGGCTGCAGAGGGTCAAATGTACAGCTGTAAGACACATTAATAAGTAAAAACCAAAAACAGACAAAAGCCCTCTACCTCAGCATCTATAAAGTGAAGAACTGATAGTTGCATGCCTGCCCACAGGCCCTGGTGAAGACCAAACTGAGATACAACTTACAAAAGCCCTCATTAAACTGCATCTCTAACTGACCACCTTAACAGGCATAGACCCAACCAGAACCTGAAAGCAAGAATTGAACCAAAAAGACTAGGCATTTTGAAAAGCTCTAAGACTACACCCTTGTGGTTATAAGAATCTTAGGACTTGCAATGGGCTGTGAAGAGGAAAATAACAAGGTATAGAGAAAGGGAGCATGTGGAAGAACAGGAGCCCATATCATTTTCAAGGTTCTCAAGGGTTAATTCAACTCCTACCAAGATGAGGGCTAAAATAACATGGTACTCAGTAGAGACTGTGTTGTTGGTAGTTTATTTCCAGAACGTTTTTAATAGAGCAATCTCTACAGATCAAGGCACACAACCAATGAATGATATACAACCTTATAAAGTAAGAGGAAGTACATAGTTATGATTATTTATTGCAAAGTCAGAAGCAGAAGGCGCAAAAGATAAGATAGCCAAGATCACACAGGCTTCCAGTCCTGCATTTGTTCTCACCCCTATCCGTGCAGAGTTTCTAAGAAATAATGATCTTGCCCCTGGTCAGAATTTCATTTAAAATACATTAGCAACAGAGTGGAAGTAGAAAATGATCATGATAAGGGGGAAAAAAAAAGAGATATTTTCAGATTTCAGAAGAGAAATATTGAGAGCCTACCACAGGCACCAGTTTGGGAAAGGAGATGTAGCAGGACTGGAAATGTATTTAGGAGGCAGGCTCCATTTGTTGGTGAGAAAGATGAATCTAGGATAACTTCCAGATTTTCAATTTGGGTGAAGAAAGGATGGCAGTACCTTTTTCTAAGGAGAAAGTGTTGATTGTTGGTTTTTCAGGGGAGGTAAGGAAAAGAATGTTGCATGTATATTTGATCGGGGCAGTCCACAAGACATCAGATGGAGAGGCCTTAAAGATGCCATGATTGGCTCATGGTCGTCTAAGTCTTGGGAAACACGTCTCTCGGTGCGCAGAACATTCTGGTTGCTTTGCCAATGTTACAAGGAACATAGTGAGGAGGATGTACACATGTTGGCAGGTTGTTGTTCCTTGAATAAGCTTCATTCCTTTCATATACATCTGTCAAAGCAATCTGGCCCCACAAAAATGGAGGAAGAGATGCTGGAATGTAATGCAAAAGGCAGGGATGAAAGAGTCTGTTTAGAACAACAGGTCGCAGCTGCAGACCAAGATCATGTTACCACACCTTCCCTCAAATCTACACAACCCATCAGCTGAGTAATGCTTACCATCTGGTCTTACAATTAGTCTTTTTTTTTTTTTCCCCTAGAATGACTTTTTCCTAAATAGTTGAACTTTACTTATTTGCTTACATATAGAATACAAAAGCCAAAGTTTAAGAAGAGAGAAAAAAAAAAAAAAGCCCTGTCAGAGAAGATCTCTAGGGAGAGAGCCCAAGATTTCTGATGAAAAAAAACAAAAAAACAAAAAAAACAAATCACTTCCAGTCTGGCTGACAAAACTGTGTTTTTACAAAAAATTCAAACATCCCATGGATCCAAAGCACGTCAAGGTAAACCAATTCTTCACCAGCACTGTGCCCAAATTAACCTCTTTCACTTCACTCTTCTGTTTCTTAAACAGTTGTATCTATCTCAGAAATCTGAGGTAGAGATCAAGTGAGAAACTGAGTTTTCAGTACAGAAGTTGCTTTTTCTAGTGCCACTAAATGGTGTATTCTCTCAGGGCAGTGTCACTGAGTCCAGTCAAATTTTAGTTCATTTCTGTAGTTTTATTGTGCTCTGCTACAAAGGGGCATGGTTAGCTAGGAAATCTTCCCGTATCTTAGCAAAGCTCATTTAAGTAATAGGCCATAAATACAAAGCTCATTTCTTGTTCTAGCAACTATGGAGTCATTATAATGGGATTATATGTGATAATTTTTTCTAAAAGAGTTACCTAGATCAAGTACAAAATCCTTCCTTTTCCTGACTACAAAAAAAGACAGAAATAATTCAACTGAGATATCTCCATGACACATTATTTCTATCTTGATACCACTTGTACTATGTCCAATATCTCCACCTCTTCATGGGCATAGTCAATGTTGCAGACATTCAAAGTTTCACCACTCACAGTGTGATTTGTTCTAGTATTCCCATTACTTGTTCCCAAGAGCAACATTTATCTTTTAGAGAATGACATGAACATGACACCAAATTCTAAAGTGCAGTAGAATCCTTAGTATACTCTTTCTAACACTCCCTGGTGAAAGTTTCAGTCCTGTAGGGCTTTCCT